GGGGGGGCATGGAGGAGACAAGGAGGGGCGGGTGGGGGGGTGCTGGGTGGGGACAAGGACGGACACTGAGAGGGGACATGGGGGGACACTGGGGAGACAGGGAGGGACATGGCAGGGACACTCCGAGCAACACCAAGACACACGGAAGGACGCTTGGGGGGGTGCTGAGAGTCAGGGAGGGACACTTGCGGGGACACAAGGAGCGACACAAGGAGAAACATCAGGGGACAGGGAGGGACACTGGGGAGGATGTTAGAGGGACAAGAAGGGACACTAGAGGAGACACTGGGGGGGAACACCAAGGAGAAAAGGGGGAGCACTGGGCTCAAAATAGGTTCAGGAGCAGTACCCCACAGCCCAATGCCTCTGCCCCCCTCCTCTGCCCTCTTAGCTCCCCACCGGCTGCTTCGGGGACGTCAGCTCAGCCCTCATGTGTGCACGGCGGGGGCCACAAATCACAGGCTGTCCCCTTTTTTGGGGGGACACGCAACTCTTTGTGAGGGGACAGAGCAGGGACGTACAACAATGCCAGTCAGCCATCCTTTCCCAGCTGGGTGAGCGGTCGGCTGCTCCTGGGAGATTAAATGTAGCCGTTATCATCTTGCCCGTAGAATTTAGGTGATGTTTTCCCCCTTATTTCTTAAAAACACATGGGCACAGCCGCCTGGCACCCACCGACGAGCTGTGCCATGCTCGGAGGTGACCCCAGCACCTCCAAACCCCCCAGTGTTACAGCAGGACATTAAAATGCACAGCGAGCACCTGCCTGTAACCTCGATGCACCCTGGATGCCCGGGGACATGAAAACCACTGGCCAGGGACACGCAGAAGGATACATAAAAATAGATAGAGATATATAAATACAAATAAATATAAACATCAAAATACATAGAAACAGTAGAAATAGTAAAAATAGAAATTAATAGAAATATAGAAATAGAAATAGAAATAGAAATAGAAATAGAAATAGAAATAGAAATAGAAATAGAAATAGAAATTTGATGCCCCCTCCCTGACATACAGATGTACTACGTGAGGTTGTGGCACAGGCACTCAGCCCCCCCGATGCTTTCCCACTGGTGGAAGGGCCGCCGGGGGCATCCCCTCATGCCTCCTACCCTGGTGCTGCTCTGTCATGTGCCCCACTTCATCTGGGGAGTGGGAAAGGTTCGAAGCACCTGCAAACCACTTGATTTTTATTAATAGCAAAGAGCTCCTAATTGCGGAGAGGAATAACCACCCTCCCGCCTCCCCTGGGTTTTTTGTTTTGCTTAAGACCTCATGAATACATGGCTTTCCATCCCACATGGGGCGCACAGGCAGCGAGCTCTGGTGGCCTTCGTAAAATGTTTTGACCGGCTGAAGGACCTCTTGGTTTTCCTAGCTGGGAATAAACCGCCGGCGCTGGCTGCCTGCATGTAGGCAACCCCGGTGCACGTAGATACGGCACCATCTGCTTTTATTTGCATCCAAGTTTTTTAACTGTCAGAAGCAGCTCGCTCGTATGCCGGGCTCTGAGGGTAGACGAGGAGGTGGGGTGTAAGCGTGTCCTCCCCCGAGCCCCCGGGGTTGGCACAGCACCACGGGCTGACCACAGAGCCTCCAACCTTAAAAACCAGGCAGCCATTATCAGGGCAGCGCAGTGATGGGGAGACAAGAGGCGGGGGGAGGCAGGAGGGCAGATGCTTTACCTAACTTTAGCCAGCTGAAAATTAGGGGCCTAATCTCAGCTGGTCACCTGGGCGGCTCCTGCAGCAGATCCAGGGCTGCTCAGCCTCCTCCGGCGGGTGCTGCTGCTGGCGGGCAAACACCCTCTCCCTTATACGTGGGGGCTCCGACCCTTTCATCCTGACTAGCCAGTCAAAATAGGGGGAAGATCCCGTGCCCCCAAGCGACTCGGTGCAGGGAAGGCGTAAGGGTGGTCACAGCTCATCAGGCTGCTGCTGGCCTTGCACGTGGAGGGGATCCCAGTCAAGGTAACCTCTAAGCACCCCACTTGATATGGGAAAGCACCCCTTGAACCCCACACTCTTACACTGATACATCCTTAACACGAGCTGGCCAGGATCGAGAGGGTTTTTCCAGCCCCTGGGGGGATGCTGGGGCTGGGGGCGGAATGCAGGTGCTGCAGGGCAAGGCAGCTGCCTTTGGGAAGTGAGGTCCGGCACCACCAGCACCCCACCGCAGCACCATAGGTGGGCTTATGCAGAAGGAAGAAATATTCCCATGGGCTGCCCAGTCCCTCCTGCCTGGCTTGGGCTCATGCCTGTATTTTTGGCCACAGGAACCTGCCACCGTGTCCCTGCACCCCCTTTTCTCCTTGAGGGGAGCTACCCAACTGCTCTAAGCCTCCCGTGCCTCCCATTTCTGGCATGAGGCGGCAGAGATTGGGAAATACTGCTTCTCCAATGAACCCCAGAGGACAGAGCCTGGCAGAGGAATCCTCTCCGTAATCCCATTTACCTTCCCCTCCCTCCCCGCGCTGTGTTCAACTGGACACTGGGGATTTACACAATTCCAGCTGCTGATTTTGTCTTAAATGGTCAAACCATGCCTGTTGTGGATCTGCCGGGAAACAGCCCCTGCCTTGTAGGGGCAGGACGGCTGTTCCTTGGCATCCAAGCACACCAAGGGCACTTCTGGCAACTAACGCCAGCGACAACATCTTATTTTACCTGGTTTCCATTTTCAAAGAGGCTCGAAATCCCCAGCAGTGGGACTTGGCCTTGCTGGCACTCAGTATCCAAGTGCTTCAGAGCTTTTTTAGTGGCGAAATAGGGGAATTAACTGGTTTTCCAGCCGTGCTCATCAGAGCTTCAGCCCCAAGCCCTTGGCATGTAACGCAATGCTGTCAGCCCAGCACGAAGCAGCTTAGCAGAGCTAAGCAGGCTTTAACGATGCCAATAAATGGGGAAGGGGCATTGCCTCTGGCTGCGGGACCGATTACCACTATTTTAGAAGATTTACAAGCTGGTTTTTAAGGGCAAGCTCCTTATGCGAGCCGGGATGCTGGCTCTCATGCAACTGCATGGCTGTAGGTTTTCCCCATGCTTGAGGCTGGGATGGGGTACAGGCATCGCTTTGGGATGCTTTTTGGGCTCTGCCAGCCATCACGCCTGTTGCCTGCAGGCGTTTAGGTTGTCTCCTCTCCCTGCCGCTCTCCCCCCACCCAGCTGCCCTGCACCCGGGAGATAGCAATGTGGAGACGCGAGGCGACCGTATCGCCCTGCCGCAGGGGAGACGGGGGCCGCTCGATAAACACCGCGCCGGTTTGGGAGGCGGCGGTACCCCGTCACCCCGGCATGACGGGACGCTCCTGCCTGGCTGGCGGCTGATCTGCAGCTACAGAGGAGGGCTGGCTCGATCGCATGTCAGGCGCCTGCACATTTCGCCTGCGCTTATGCGACATGTTTATCGGGGTCAGCAGCCCCAAGTCAGGAAGGGAAAAAAAAACCCACCACGCCAACAAAGCAACCCAAACAAACACAAGATACCGGACCCCTCAGAGAAGGGGCTGGCAAGCTGCACGCACCAGCAGTCTGCAGTTCACCCCTCACTCACCCTCTACTTGCCCCCAGTGCCCCACTTTTGGGGATTTCCTCCCCCAGGGGTAGGTATGACTGCACAGACTGTTGTTTCAAGCAGTTCTTTTTTCTTAAAACCACACACGCATCCCTCAGCTTGCAACACTGTGCCCTGAACCCCACTTCTTCTTTGTCCTTTTTTTACCAATCCCCCATGGCAAGACCAAGCGCTGCAGCCTGGAAGCAGCTGCCCTGAGCTGCTCTGTCGCCTCTTGCCTGCCTTCCTTCCCATCTCAGGCCCCTAAGCGTGCCGAATGCTCACCCTGTCCCAAACTCGATGGCAACAGCCATGTCCGGCTGGGAGGCAGAGGGGAAAGCCTGGGCAGGGCAGGGACGGGAGGGTTTCTAGGCAGAGGCAGGAGGCCAAGCACCAGCGAGGGCAAGCCCTGGCTCTGCACGGCCACGGTGGGGAGCTGGCTGCTGAGCTCAGTGCCTGGCCTCTTGCATCATCCGTTGGGTTGCCCAAGGGCCTCGTGCGCATGATGAAAGCCTGCAATCCAGTTTTACCATAATTTGTGACTTATGAAGCGGCTTGCCTCACCTAGGGAAAGCAGTTGCTGAAGCTGTGCCCATGGAGGAGTGGGTCTGTATTTGTCCGGTCCCCCCTGCCCCAGGGGCCACCGGTACCACAGCGGGGTTATCACACGCTGAGCGAAGGCATGCTGCCCTAACTCTCCTCATTGCGGCTGCCCACCATGTCCTTACACCCTGCTCCCATCCCCATGTCTCACAGTATTCCAGCCTCCCAGCTGATGCATCGATCACCTCCGTCCAAGTGTCCTTGAGCCCTTCGCCTTCCCCCTCTTCAGACGGCACCTCCAGCCCCAGCACAAGCCCACAGTTAGGGCTCTTCTGTAATTGCCAGCAGCCTCTCTGCAGAGCAACAGCTCACGTTTACAT